AAAGAATTGCCCCGAGTCGCGACAAAACAAACCACAACACCAGGAGGAGGAGGAGGAGGAGGAGGAGGAGGAGGAGGAGGAGGAGGAGGAGGAGGAGGAGGGAGGGAGGGAGGAGGGAGGAGGAGGAGGAGGAGGAGGAGGAGGAGGAGGAGGAGGAGGAGGTGGAGGACCAGCTGCAGTGAAACATCCAAACACAGCAAACGCAAAGCTCGATGCGTCGCAGGCGCCGAAACAGAACGTACGACAGAACGCATCGCTGCGACCTCCGATGGGCGTCGTTATCCAGATTCGTTCAAGCCAAAACAAAACACGCTTAGAGCCAAAAAGCAAGGCAACAAAACGAAACACGCCAAACACACAACAGCACGTTCAGGTCGCGCCGCGCCCTGCCTCCAGGCGCAGAGACCGACGCTGCGAACACCTGGGGCTCGCAACGGCGGAGAGACGGAGAGGGGCAGAGATGCGCGCAGGCAGAGGGAGGCCGCCGAGGGGGAGCAGGCAGGAGGGCGGAGGGCGGAGGGCGAGGGGAGGGGGGCGGGGGCGGAGGAAGGAGGAGGGAGGAAGGGGGGGACCAGGGCGAGAGGGACGAGGGAGGAGGGGCGAGGGAGGGTCGATCCTCGGGGCGGAGTATAGGAGGAGAAGACACGGCGGGGTGCCAAGCACTCTCCTGCCATCAGGAAGCGGGAGGCGGGAGGAGGAGGAGGAGGAGGAGGAGGAGGAGGAGGAGGAGGAGGAGGAGGGGGAGGGGGAGGAGGGAGGAGGAGGAGGAGGGGAGAGGAGGGGGAGGGGAGGAGGAGGAGGGGAGGAGGAGGAGGAGGAGGAGGAGGAGGAGGAGGAGGAGGAGGAGGAGGAGGAGGAGGAGGAGGAGGAGGAGGAGGAGGAGGAGGAGGAGGAGGAGGAGGAGGAGGACAAGCAGCAGCAGGCGGCGGATGCGGAGGAAGGCGGCGGACATAGCACGGAGGCAAGAGGAGGGACGCTGGAGGAGCGGCGGGAGGACTGGCAGGAGGGCGATGCGGCTCCGAGGAGGTGCTGAGAAGGAGCAGCAGCAGAACGAGCCCCAGACATGCGACGCCCTGATGTTGTCAATGCGGTGCCCCTGGAAGCTCCGACCCGCTCCCCGGCACCGGCTCTTCATCCTGAGTCGCTTCCTGACGCTCCCGAGGCCCGGCGAGTGCACCCAGGGGCCGAAAACGGCAAAACACCTCCCGTCCTGATTTGCTTTACGACGCGATCATGCCTGGGGGCTCCTGCTGCTCCTCCTCCTCTCTCCTCCTCCTCCTCTTCCCTCCTCCTCCTCCTCCTCCTCCTCCTCCTCCTCCTCCTCCTCCTCCTCCTCCTCCTCCTCCTCCTCCTCCTCCTCCTCCCCCTCCTCTTCCTCCTCCTCCCCCGCCTCGTCCTCCTCCTCCCCCCCCTGTCGTCCGGCCCGAGAGCTCTCTGTGGCAGGCTCGCCGAGCCAGCCCGAGAGGCTGCTCCATCGCCCCTACTCGTGCCCGCCCTGCCTCCCGCGGACCTTGCCCCCGGCGCCCTCTGGAGCCTCGCTCATGCACCGGCCCCGGCCCTGGGCTCCGAGGCCGAGCTCAAGACGACGCCAGAACGAGGACCCAGACATGATCGCGTCGTAAGAAATCTGAACGGCAAGCTTTGGGGCCAAATTCGGCCTCGGGGGGCCCTCGCTGGGCCTCGGGACCGTCAAAAAAGGACTCGCGATGAAAAACCGGTCCCAGGGACAGGGTCAGGACTTCTGGGGACCCCGTCTTGAAAAGATCAGGACGTCGCATGTCTGGGGATATAAAATCGGGTGAGGATAAAATGGAGAAAATCTCCGAGATACGGCGGCTCTGGGGGGACGTCTCAGGCGCCGCAGCCTTCTCAGAGCGTCCCAGAGGGCTCTGAGAGCGTTCCAGAGCGCTCTGGAACGGATGCGTCCTCGTCCCTGCCCCGTCCGAGAATCGGCGGATCGAGCACGAGGGGGACGAGGAGGTCGACTGCCCATGGGAGCAAAAGGAGGGCAGGCTCCTCCTCCTCCTCCTCCTCCTCCTCCTCTTCCTTCTCCTCCTCCTCCGCCTCCCCTACCTCTTCCTCCTCCTCCGCCTCCCCCTCCTCCTCCTTGACGGCGGAAGGCTCCGGTCGTCGTTGGCCGCCGCCGCCGTCGGCTGCGGCTCGCCAGGGCGGCGCCAGGAGGAGGAGAAGGAGGAGGAGGAGAAGGAGGAGGAGGAGGAGGAGGGTGGGAGGATGAGGATGAGGATGAGGATGAGGATGAGGATGAGGAGGAGGAGGAGGAGGAGAAGGAGGAGGAGGAGGAGATAAGGAGGAGGAGGAGGAGGAGGAGGAAGGTGGGAGGAGGAAGGTGGGAGGAGGAGGAAGGAAGGTGGGAGGAGGAGGCGGAGGAGGAGGAGGAGGAGGAGGCTGAGGAGGAGGAGGAGGAGGAGGAGGAGGAGGGTGGGAGGAGGGTGGGAGGAGGAGGAGGAGGAGGAGGAAAGGAGGAGGAGGAGGAGGTGTAGAAGGAGGAGGAGGAGGAGGAGGGGAGGAGGAGGAGGGAGGAGGGAGGAGGGGGGAGGAGGAGGGAGGAGGGGGGAGGAGGGGAGGAGGAGGAGGAGGAGGAGGGGGGCGAGGTGGGAGGAGGAGGAGGGAGGAGGAGGAGGAGGAGGAGGAGGAGGGAGGAGGCGGAGGAGGAGGAGGAGGAGGAACCTTGGAGTCGTAGTGCACGATCTTCGGCTCGGGCTTGCCCATCGCCTCGGCGGCGGGCGGCAAAAAGAACGGCTCCGGAAGGGACGACGACGACGGCGACGACCGCGAAGGCAACGACGACGGCGAGGAAGGGCGGAGGGAAAGGGGCGAGATAGGGGGGGGGAGGACGTGGGACGAGGGAGGGGTGGGGTGAAGGATGAGGGAGGAGGGGAAACGAGGCAGGGGGAGGAGGGAGGACCAGGCAGGGGGAAGGAGTTCAAGCAGTTCTGCGGACGTGTTCCCCGCCCAGCGCTTCCGACCGCAGGCGAGGGAAAGAGAGAGAGAGAGAGAGAGGGTGCGTGTGTAACTTGTCTTTTGAAGCGCGCGCGCAAGCATCCCACCCACTTAACAGGATTGTCGGGGGTGGGATGCGTTGGGCGCGCGCTCGCGATGCACGTGACCCACCCCCCACCCTGCCTCGGTTGCGCCGCAGAGCGAGCTCCCTCCTCTCCTCCGCCCCCACGCCGCCCCCTTGTAAAAGAGGAAGCGACATGCGTCGCACTTCCCGCGGATGTACCGCCGTGCGACGATCTGCGAACGACCACGGTGGCGAACGACCGACGACGAAAGACCAACGACAAACGGGCGACGAAGGACGAAGGACGGACGGACGGACGACGACGACGACGACGACGACGACGACGACGACGCCGGACGACGGACGACGACGACGACGACGACGAACGACGACAACGAACGATGATTAGGACGACGACTGACGCGAAGGACGAACGGCGAACGACGGTGAATCACGAACGACGAGCGACGAACGGCGAACGACGCCGCACATGCGGGCGCGTCGCAACGCGACCACCGCGCAGGAGGCGGGGGGGGGGGTTGACCGCGAGCCCGCGTGGGCTCTCACTGAGTGGCCGGAGAGCCCAGCATCGAATCGACAAGTCGGATCGGCGATCGAAACACTGAAGAGGCACTGGGACGGACACACAAATAAATACACACAAATCAAAGGACTCCCCATATTTTCCCATATTTTCTGGGTTTTTCGTCTTCCCCCCCCCACTTCCCATATTTTCCTATATTTTCTGGGAATCGACGATTAATTGTGTCTGTGTGTTTCTTTCCCTCCTGATCTGAGTGAGTGGCAGGAGAGCCCAGCATCGAATCGAGAAGTCGGGTCGGCGATCGAAACGAATCGGCTCGGCGGAAATCCGCAGCCGAACCGGGGAAAAGCCGAACCGGCAGAAATCGGGCAGGCCACCAGAAGTCCCCCGCGCTGAGAATGAGAAGGCGACCCACTTGCCGGCGAGCCGCGGGCCTGGCCGGCGTCGAGGGAGCTCGCGCGCCGCGACGGCGCTCGCTCGCCCCCGAAGGCCCCCCGCTACACCGTCCGCGCATGGTGACGCTGATCCTGGCCGAGCACCGCCCCGCCGACGTGCCGGGCCACGCGGTGATCTGGCGCGCACCGGCCACCGCCCGGCTCTTCCCGATGCGCGTCGGGAAACGCGCCTGGCGCGGAGGCGTTGGGGCGACAGCAAGGCGCCTGGCGGGAGGCGATGTCGCCGCCCGCCACGAGGGGCGCCCCGCCGCGAACCTGAGGGCTCAAGGGCTCCACGGCCGACCATCGCGTGGTTCAAGGGCTCCACGAGGGGCCAACGCGATCATCGCGTGGTTCAAGGGCTCCACGGCCGACCAGCTGCAGGCGGGGGCGGCGCGCAACTCAGGGAACCACCGCCGCGCCCGCGCGGGGCCCAGACCCCCGACGTCGTGATTTTTTTTCACAGCGTCGACCCCCAGAGGTCTGGACCCCTTTCCCCGGGACCAGTTCTTCGTCCTGAGTCGCTTGTTGACGCTCCCGAGGCCCGGGAAGGGCCCCTGGAGGCCGAAAATAGCGAAAAACCTCCCGTCGCGATTTTGTTCACGACGCGAGGAGATCTGGGGGCTGCGCCCCGCGCTGGCGGCGGAGCGACTGCAGCAGCGCTTCCCGGAGCGCTCCGCGATTGAGAGGCACCCCCCGGCGTGCCGCCGGCAGGCTGAGGCACCGGCGAAACGCGAGCAGCTGCAGGAGGTGCTCGAGCAAGTCGCGAGGGAGGAGGGGCTCCCCGCGGATCGCGCGCGGACCCGCTCGCCGCGCGTAAGCAGGCGCCACAGCCCTCTACCGCATCTGCCCGGGCGCGGAGCGGATCAAGTTGAAGGGGCCCTGAGACACACAAATAGATAGACACGAATACAAGGATTCCCGATATCTTCATATATTTTCTGGGTTTTTGTCTTCCCCCCCCACTTCCCATATTTTTCCACATCTTCCTGGGAATCGACGATTACTTGTGTCTGTGTGTTTTTTTTCCCTCCTGACAATGGGAAGAGGTTCGGGCGATGGAACAACACCTCGTCTCGCGCGCGCCTGTGGGAGGCGCGCGAGGGCGCGAGGGGTGCGGCCGCCGGCGTGGCGGGGAACGCGACCTCTCTGCATATCGGCCGCAGACCGACGAAGGCGGCAGGTCCATCCCGGGCGGGGGGGGGCGGCCCCGAGGAGGAAGCCCGCGAGTCCGTGACGACGGGGGCGAAGGGTGCCCGCTTCAGGGACGAGGACGTCCGAGCCGCGTTGCAAGCGACCCAAGACAGGGGACAGGAGAAAAAAAAAGGAGCCAGATGAGGACGACCACAGCCGCGCATACCTCAGATGCGTCCCTCGTCGCACACCGAGAGTGAATGCCACATTGCGTACAAAAGAGTCAGCCAGATAAGCAAATACAAATTCAACTCGGCACGACCCTGTCCATGATGAAGCCCACCACAAGTTACTGGGCAAACTTTGAACCGAACTAACTTGCCAGCAGCACGGGTACTGAGCTCGCCTCCTCCACAAACTGCCTCACCAACAACCAAACCAAAGAACAACATTTACCCACTACCAAATGCGCAACGTCATTCCTCCAAAGATGTCCACAGCCCAACAATGAACAGTAATGACCGTAAAAGAAAACCCAACCACAACTAACCCAGAAAGTACGCCTTGCGCTGGCCAGGCTCGGCCGACACCAACAAGCGGTTGCCTTGCGCTGACCAGGTCAGCCAATGACCAGGTGTACCAGGTGCTGAAGCCCACAGAGAACTTGTTGAACATGCGCGGACAAGAAAAGGCCACAAGTTCAGGAACGGGCCGGAGACGGGGAAGACCCAGCCCGAAATGGACCTAACCCGACCTATCTCCCGCAAATGGATTTTTGTTGCGAACCAGTGGGCAAGACCGAAGGGGCACTGTCGCCAACACCGCGCACGGGCGTGCACAGAGTGTGCTGGATTTACCTGCATGCCAGGTTCAGCGCACACGCCTGAAACGTTCACACGACGCGGATCTGTCAAACAGAATTGCCTAACAGACTGTCGGCTCGCCTCGTGTACGTTCACACGAAGCGGAACTGTCAAACAAAATTGTCTAACAGACTGTCGGCTCGCCAAGGAGGAGGAGGAGGAGGAGGAGGAGGAGGAGGACGAGGAGGAGGACGAGGAGGAGGAGGAGGAGGAAAGGAGGGGAGGAGGAGGAGGACAGGGAGGCAAAAGAAATCCCAGATGACGAATGATACGATTTCCCTTTGAAACGTATCGGCCCCGCGGTTGCACTGAAGATGTGTTCTAGCCACTACTAGGTGGCCCAAACGGCCACGCTAATAAATTCGACGCAACATAATGCAAGGAGGGGAAGGAGGACAAGGAGGAGGAGGAGGAGGAGGAGGAGGAGGAGGAGGAAAGACAAAAAGAGAGAAGTGCCGAAACTCGCACGACCCCAATCAATGTACCGAGTGATACAGTGCAGCAAACGATCACAGGGGTAAAAAAAGACTATGTGCTACGGGCACGTCCGGGGCCGAGGGGTTTCCCTCGGGGCCGGACGGTACCGCCCACAAACCCCTGGTAGAAGCAGCACGGGGTGCCCCTGGGCCCTGCCCCAGAAAGATCACTCCCGACGTCGTCTGACTCGTCGCCCTGCGGATCCTGGCGAATGTCGCCGGCGTGCGCACGCGCTGGAGGCACTATTGGCGGGCACGCTGGCTGACTGGAGCGCTTTCTGAAGCTTGGGATCGCCTCGGGTGCCCTCGTGCAGCGCCTGGTTCATAACATTCTTCACATAAATCTCTGCGGGGCGATTGGGAAGGGGACGCAAATGATTGACCGCTGTGTATGCTACATCAATGCTAACTGCTAGCTGGCGAAGCCGCAAAGCGGTCAGCGGGCATGTAAAAACCATTCGGAAACGTCATTGCCTGGGGGGGCGTCTGCCTGCAGCCGGTCCTGCGTCCACTTGCGCAGGATCGGACATCGAAGGTCATGCTCTATACTGTCTTTGCAGGGCCCGGTGAAGCCCAATCGACACGCGCAGGGACGAACCCGGATGCCCCGCATACGGCGGTCAGTAACCCATCTGTTGAAGAAAGTGCTGAAGACCGCAGCGGCGATACGACGGGTTACCAGTCTATGCGTGCGCTGGACATTGATGCTGGCACGGCGCGCTGCGCGCCAGCGTATGCCTGGCAAGTTCCACCGTTGAAGTCCCTGACGAAGCCTCTCCTCGCCGTTGAAGCCCGTCGTTGCGAGCATCTCTGTAGCCAGCCATCGTTGCAATCCTTTGCGGAGTTTGCGCTCCGCAGCAGGGGGGGGCGGACCCGCGCAGACGTTCGTGAGCGCCTCCCGGGCTCGTAGACTCGTCATGCCGTCGCGCTCTGCTGCCGCGTTGGTTCGACACGAAATCGTGGGGATGTGCTTTTGATACCATCCGTGCCAGCATGCCAACCTGGCTACAAAATCTGTGCGAGCGCGGCACTCCTCCCATTTGCGACGGAGGCGTTCCCACTCAATGCCGCGTGCCCCACCCTCGCGTCGGAAAGTCCTGACCATGGCCGCCTTGCAAGGTTTTTCCATGGGGCGGAGGCGGGTAGGGATGCCCAGCTGCGGACCATGGTGAAGATCCCGTGGCTGGCACCCAAATCCGGGTCCTGGTGCGATGCGTCTGACCGCAAGCGCCTCCAATTCCAGGACCTCCGCAGGGGGCTGCAGCAACTGCGCGATAAATAGGAAGCCTGGTAATATGTATGTGTTGTAGGTCCGGATCGACGTCGCGAGCCCGAGTTCTGACCATGGCCACTCCTTGAGGCGGCGCACCAACTTGCCTCGCGGACCGCCCCAAGATAAGTTGCCGCTGCCCGGCCCGATGACGAAGCCCAAGTATTTCGCGCGATCTGCCCAAGAGATGCGCGGGTTCGCCTCGTCCTCCTCCTCCACCCTGGTCTTGACTGCCGCCGGGGGCTCTGGCCACAGAGGTGCGCCCACAGTCTTCGCGAAGTTGAGCTCGAGATGCGAGGCCTTTCCAAACTCTGCGAATATACTCAAAAGGCGTTGCCCTTCCGCCCGCCACGAGGAAAGGACAGCGGCAGTGTCATCGGCGAACGCCCTGGGCACACTCTGAGGGATCGAGGTCTGGATGGTCCGGAGGAGGCTGTCACTAGAGAGTGCAAATAACAGCGGTGACAGCGGGCACCCTTGGCGAATGCCACGCTCCAAAGATATTATCCCGAACTTCTGGCCGTTCAGCGCAAGGCCACACGCGGTGCGAAGGCGCAGACTCTGGACCGCCCGCGTGGCGCTGGCGGGCAAGCCCGCCGCCTGCAGGGGCGCCATCAGAAAGGACCTCGGTAACGGCGGAAATGCTGCCGAAAAGTCGAAAAGCACAGTCGCGGGGCCCCCGAAGTCCAACGAATTGCGCTGCGACGCATCCTCGATCTCGACTGTGTTCCTCAACGCGCTCCGGCCTGCGATGACGCCGCGCTGGGAGACAGTGACCAGGGGCGAGATGAGCGGCTCCCACCTCCAGCGGAAAGCCGCGGCGACGATGCGATTGTCGGCGTTGGTGATGGAGAGAGGCCTTGTCTCTGCGGCCGTGTGGGCGGGTTGTCCAGTGGGGTCCACTCTCGATGCATTCTTCGGGAGGCAGACCATCAGGGCCTCGTTCCATCCTGCGTGTGCTGCACGCTCAGGCTGGAGACCGCGTTCAACTTGGCGCGCCACCCCGAGGGGCGTCCCGGGTCCAAGATTTCCAAATGCTCTCCAAGCTGCAAATGGTATCCCATCAGGTCCAGGGCGGCTGTTCCCGGAGAGGCGGAGAGCCCGCGCGACATCTCGTCGCCGTATCCGCCACTGACCCAGTGGAGCCGTGGATGTCTTGGCCCTGGCCGCCTGCGCCAGGTTGCACCAATGCTCTATCCGCGTTTCGCCCTGCTCCGCGGGGCCGAAGACCTTGCCCCAGTGCTCTTGCAGCATATGAGCAATGCGCTGAGGATCCGTGGTGGGCTCTTGCTCTGGTCCCCCCATGGCCTGCATGCTGGTGGTGTGAGTGCGCCGTAGCAGACGTGCAAGTCTGCCCTGGATGTCGTTTCTGCGGGGGCGGTCCGCCGAAGGCTCCGCGCCCTGCGCCTGCTCGAAATCTTCCCGCATATCCGACGCCAGCTCGTTCTTGGTCAGCGCGATCGCTTTGTCCTGGGGTCGTCTCGTAGCCAACGGCAGCGTCACCCCGCTGCTCTCCAGATTAAAGTTCGCGAGCCCAATGCGGCGGAAGCGCGCCCCGGAGACTTGAAACAATCTGGACGCGCCGAAGCCGATGCGGGTGCGCCGGAGGGGCCCTCCAAGTAAGCGCGGCCGGACTTGGTCTCAACATGGCGTCGGTCACCTCGTGCGTGGCGTCCTTCGTTATCTGCAGCTTGTCCACGGCATCCAACTGCGCGGGCTCGGCGTAGTGCGCGCGCTCCCTGTGGGGTGCCGCGCGGGCCACGCGGTGCGCCCAGTCTGGATGGTGCACAAGATGGAATGGAAGCGTTAGCAGAGATGGGCCCTTAGGGGAGAGTCGCCGGCCGAAGGACAAGGGCGCGTGGTCCGAGATCGCAGCGTCGAAACCAAGCCGCGCGATGAGGCGCGCGCCGTCGAAGAAGTCCGCGTCGCGGTGGTTCGTCAAGAGGCGGTCCAGTCGCGCCGAAGAGGAAAGCGCGCGATGCGCGCGATGTTCCTGGAAGAGCTCACGGAGCCCCGCGCCGCGCAGAAGATGTTTTTTCCAGAACGTCGCCTCTGCCTCATCGCGATGCCCCGTGAGAGTATGACTGCGCGCGTGGTAGCGATCCTCGTCCTGCACGACGTAATTCCAATCTCCACCAAGTATGTGTAAGGCGTCCGGGCGTCGATCGAGCCATGGCGCCATCTTCCGCGCAATTCGCTGTCGCTCAGCGGCCGCGTGGCCCGTGGGCAAATAGACGTTGACAAGATTGAGATCACCTTCAGGGCCGTGCAATCGAAGAATGCCCACCCTGCCTGGCTCCAGCTCGATCCAAGACGTCGGCGAAACCGCGCTGAAATGGTTGAGAAAACTATTCTGCACCAAAGTCAACAAGCCGCCTTGATGCCGGCTCCCGTGTCCCCAATATGGCGTAGTCCCAGCCGGGGTCTGAAATGCGCTGGCAATGCCTTCAATCCCGTGCACTTCTTGTAAGAATAGAAAATCATGGTCGCGAATCAATTTAACCATCTGCGTTCTCTTCCGCGCTTGCGCTTCCAGATCATATGCCAGAAAGCCGCGTGCGTTCCAGCATGCGCCCCGGCATCCGCCACCGAAGGGCAAACGTGCATTAGACGACGAGCGAGAGGAAGACCGTCTCGATGTAGGACCCCAAAATGGGCAGCCGCCCTGGTCCATGGGAGGGGGCGCAGGCGGCTGACGTCGTGGAGGGCCGGCTGGAGCAGGAGAGCGGGGAAGAGGCCGCCCCCCAACCACCGTTTCCTAGTCCTCGGTGGCAAAGGTCATGCAGTCAATTGCAATCCCCGAAAGTGTCGAGGGCACCCACCCCCGAGGCTCGTGGCGACCGTGCTCCTCGCGCTGGTCCTCAAGCCCGGAGCGAAAGACCTGAGGTGCATCCCATGGGCTGTCGGTCGCGCCCGTGGAGCCCGGGCAGCCCGCCCCGCGCTCCGGCGATGACCCCCCGAGCCCTGCGCGTTCCTGGCCGACGAGACCTGTAGGTGCGCGTACTCGTGGCGGAGGTCCACTCCCAAGCGCGTAGTCCCGCCCGCGCCCGGTATGCAGCAGTCGTTAAGGCGGGACGCAAGCGCGATCGCCTCCTCCGAAGATGCGGTGGCGACCACGATGCCCCCGTCCCACTGGCCGAAAAGGTTCGGGATCGGCGTCGATGAGTGTCGAGATGGTCGTGTACCTAGCGCCTGGGCTGCGTATTGGATGCCGGTCCACTCCTCCACCTTGTTGGCCAGGACCGTGAGCCAGGCGCCAGGGTCCTCCGTGGTGTCACCCTTGATCTGCACGTGGATCTCCGTGCGCGACGGGCCTGCAACCTCTCCCCAATTACCTACCATTGCAGCCTGCTGTCGTGCCTGGAGAGCCTGTGGTAGTACCCCAGTCCCGTCCGCCGCGAGTACTCGCCCTCCAAGTGATACGAAGTATGCGAGCTCCTCCGCCTTGGTGTTGCTGCGTCAGCGTGGGCTCCCACATTTCCTGGGGGGGTCGTAGTGATCATAATTCCACGCATCGTGGAAAGAAAGATGCACTGGTTCAGGTATTTGGCCTCGCTGATAATCGCGTCCACGCCCTGGAAATCGAGGATGAGCGCACCAGGGTCGTTGAGGAGCTGCGTGTGTCCTATGATCACGTTTGGGAAGGCCCTCAGATGATGCCGAAGACCCCGCATAATCATCGTGATTTTCACCGGTGAACTCGTCGAGGTGTAACCGTACATAAGCGACCAGTTCTCCGGGTCCGCCTGGCTTGTCAAAAGCCTGCTCCATCCCGCAATGCCCTCCGCCCCAAATTGATGAATCAAGGCGCTAATGTCCGTGACCTGGTCGTTCGCCATGTCGAGCACAATCGAGTCGAGATTCTTCAGGCCCCCAGGCGACTCCTTCCACCAGTGCGTGCGCATTGTAGGCGATGCGGAAGCCCGCTCCCCATAACGGATGATAGCCACGTGTGTCTCCTGGACCCGGGGTCCATGGGGACCGTCTGTGATCAACCTCACCGGCGGCTCGAAGAAATCAATGGTCTTCACCTGTTTCCCAGCCGAGCCGGACAATAATGGCGTCTTCCAAAAATCAGCGATGGCCGACTCCGAAGGGTTACCTGGCAAGGGGGGCCTCGTCGCCAGGAGGCTACTGTCCGCATGCCCACCACGTGCCCGCACCGTCGTCGCCGAAGACAGCATCCTGCCCAACTGCGCGGAGTCCTCTGGAGCATGGAGGAGAAAATGCTCAGCCAAGGTGTCCTCCAAATGCTGCCCTCCCGCCGAGGCGTCCCGTGCAACTGTAGTGTGAACGTGCCTGGCTTGGCGTGGCCCCAAGACCCTCAATAAGTCCCGGCCGTGATCTGTGAATCCCAAGTTCTGAAGGTCCGAGAGCTGCAAGCAGATGAGGTCACAGCTGCACGGCGCGAAAGACTCGTGTAGGTACGTGAGGAAGCCATGTTCCATTTCCTTGTACCTGTAGGCTGGAGCTAGCTGGCGACGGCCACGTCGCATTTTGAGGGTAGGGAGGAGGTCCCTGCAGATAGTCGCCGCGGTGTCCAACTGGAGCTTAATGGCCTCGCACTGTTCCTTGACAGTGTTGGTGTTCAGCGACGTGGCCAAGTAGTCAAGCCAGTGGTGCATACACCGCTGCTGATTCTCAATTAAATTGGCATCTGGGAGCGCGCCCTCGTCCCAGGGGATACCCAGCTGTTCCCAGGCCAACTCATGGTTGAGCCGGAGTCCGAGGTAGTGCAGGAACTTCTTGAACCCCTCCACCGAGCCCAGGGTCTCCTCCGGCGATGGCGGGGGAGCAGCCTGTGCGGTCTGCGTGACCAAGCGCGCCTGGAAGTCGTCCGTGAAGAGACACACGCAGTCGTCGAGGCCACGCGTGATCGCGGAGAGCTCCAGGTCCTGCCGCTCTAGGCCTGGTGGGGGGGGGAGGCGACTGCGGACGTCGGAGGGGGAGGGCCGGCTGTGCTTTCCATCCGGAGCTCGGCGATCGTCTGTGTGTGAGGCCCGTGGTGCCGACGTCACCCCCCTCGTCCGCGCCGATGGCGGCCTCAGCTGCGCTGGCGGCGGCCGCAGCATGCGCGGCGCACAGGGCGCCCCCAGCAACCGCCCGGGCCTCCACGCCTCCAGCGAGACACACCGGGCAGCGTCCGGCCATCGCTCGCGCGCCTTGAGCAGTTTTTCAAGCCGCGTCCAGCCGTGTATACGAGGGAGGGGGGGCACGGGGCCAGATCCCGCCCAGATGCCACAATGCGCAGGAGCCCTATGCTCTGCTTGGCCTTGAGCCAATCTCCCGCAAGTGGACCACGAAAGATATGCCGAGAGCCCCTGCCCAACTCTTTGTCCGACTTCGCCACTGCGATCGGCAACCCAATGAAACAGGTGAAGACACGGTGCCACCCAAGCGCCACGTTGCGGCGTCGGACAAGATTCTGAGCTCGCCGGGAAGCCAAAATGCTACGGAGAGCCTCGAGCCGATGCTTGAGTGCCCGAGGAGAGAGGGGAGGAGGGAGGAAAGGAGGGAGGGAGGGGAGGGGAGGAGGAGAAGCAGGAGGAGGAGGAGCAGGGCCTGGATGGGGAGGAGAAGGAGTAAGAGAGGAGGAGGAGGAGGAGGAGGAGGAGGAGGAGGAGGAGGAGGAGGGCCTTGAGGGATGACGAGGAGGAAGACCGGTAGCCTTGGCCGCCGCCTTGGCGATGCCGTCGAAGGTCACCGCGTTCTCGTTCTGGAGGTTGTAGACCTCGGAAGCTTCCTCCTCCCTCCTCCATCCTCTACGTCCCCTGTACCGTCTATGTCATCTATGCCCCTCCTCCATCACATATGTCCTCAATGTCCCTCCTCTGTGACCTCTATGCCATACCCAGATGTCCCTCCTCCTTCCTCCCTCCTCGTCTATGTCCCTCATTGTCCCTCCTCCTCCTCCACCATCTCCTGAATATCCTCCTGATCCTCATCCTCCTACTCTCTGCTGGACGCTCAAACCCATTCAGATCATCCTCTGCACCAGCTCATTCCACTGGAGATGCCGACGCCGTATGACACGCTCAAGGGGAACACTCGGGGAGCTGAAGCTATTGTGGGTGACCCGAGCGGCAACATGGCGAGAACAAATGATGGCACAACCGAGGCGATGTGATTGAGTTGGCGTCTTCCTTTCCATGCTAGAGTCTGGCCGCATATGCTCCTGCGCATCTAGGGGAAACAAAAAGTGACATAAACATAGAAACTCGGAGGTCCGCGTGGATTTCTCGGATCGGCGCTGGACCCCCCTCCCTGGGGCGCGGAGCGCGCCAGGGGCGGCGCCGGAGGCGCCGCCAGGGGGGCTCCAGCGCCGATCCGAGAAATCCGCGCCGACCTCCGAGTTTTTATGTTTATGTCACTTTTTGTTCCCCTAATGCTAAAGTCTGGCCGCATATGCTCCTGCGCATATGCCTCCAGGCCGCTGCCGCTCTCTCTCTTTTTCTTTCTCTCTCTCTCTCTCTCTCTTGCTGTCTTGGCCTGCCTCGGGTGGCGCAGCACCAGGCCCCACTCCCGCACTTGATCGCGCCCGCATGCCGCCCGCCGGTCGGACGCCTCCGGGGCCCGCGTGCCAGGTGATGTGCGGGAGCCACAGTCAGCCCGCATACCCTGAGATCCGACGCTCCAAAAAAATTGGAGCAGGCGGTTTTTGACCGTTTTCGGCCTCCTGGGGCCCTCGCCGGGCCTCGGGAGCGTCAAAAAACGACTCAAGACGAAACACCGGTCCTGGGGAGGTCCGGACCTCCAAGGCCCACGCATCGGAAAAACTGGAGCAGCCGGATGTCTGGGTAGTGAGGATGGGCAACCTTCCCAAAGGGTCACCCTGGCAGCCTTGCCTCCTCGGTCCACCCTTCGCCGCTTTCGCTGGCCGCGCCCCGCTCGAGAACCTTCGAAATGGGCGTCCAAGGCCTTTGCATCCCTATCGCGCATCCTCACTACACTGGTTGCCTGTAGCGCGCGGATTCCAGTCTCAACGAGCTGTCCTCCCGTTCGAGAACCTTCGAAATGGTTGTCCAAGGCCCTTGCACCCCTATGGCGCATCCTCACTGCACCGGTTGTCTGTAGCGCGCGGATTCCACTCTCAACGAGCTGTCCCCCCGCTCGAGAACCTTCGACATGGGCGTCCAAGGCCCCTGCATCCCCATCGCGCATCCTCACTGCACCGGTTGCCTATAGCGCGCGGATTCCACTCTCAACGAGCTCTCCTCCCGTTCGAGAACCTTCGACATGGGCGTCCAAGGCCCTTGCATCCCTATCGCACATGCTCACTGCACCGGTTGCCTATAGCGCGCGGATTCCACTCTCAGCGAGCTGTCCTCCCGCTCGAGAACCTTCGAAATGAGCGTCCAAGGCCCTTGCGTCCCCATCGCGCATCCTCACTGCACCGGTTGCCTATAGCGCGCGGATTTCACTCTCAGCGAGCCGTCCTTCAGGAGTAGTAATAGTACGCAGCTGATGGGCAATGTTACATGAGTGCACACACACACATGCCGCACGCGCCGCGCCGCACACACACGCACACGACAAAAATGATCGAGGCTGCCCGCTGTCCACGGCCTCAGGTCGCTACCATCATGACCTGGTGCCTGCCGCACTGCTGGGCTCAAAGGGATGGTCGACGCCACCCCCAGCCAGGGCAAGCCGGTTTCCTGGCAAACGTGAAAATCACTGCGCGTTTACGCCAAGGGCTCCATCATCGAAGAGGTGGTGAATGATGTCTTCGACGGCGCCCTGAAGTGTAGTCGCCCCGTCGGGCTGGTCCCAGAAGTCGTGGCAGCTCGTGCGTTCGTAAACCTCGTCGAATATCAACGTGAACTCGGATTCAATATCGCTCGACTGCTCCAGCAAACGGACAAGAGGGAGTACGATAGGCTCGGGGATAGTGTAGCGCGTCGCCAGCACCGCGGATAGTGCAAGTCGTCCCACGTTTGGGTCGACCACCTCCCCCCAGTCGTCCAGTTTGCTGTCGATTGCCCTCTCCATGCAGCACTCGCTCTCCAACGACGTGCCCTCCATGACACGCTCCAGCGGGAGTACCTCTGTGTCGTCGTCCGCCCGCACATCCGCGGAAGTGGCGTTCGCCATCACGTCCCTGGCGATGCTCGACTGGGCCGCAGGCTCGCCCTCGAGCTGGACAGGGTCTGGCCGACGTGCATCGGCCAAGTGCAGCGGCGGCCTGAGGTCCTCGATCATCAAGGGCGCCACGGGCTCGAGCAGGAACGGCCGCGGGAACAGCGCTAAGATCGGGTACTCCACGCACTGGATGCTGTACTCGGTGTCCACGGGCACCGGCTTCGCGAAGAAGAAGAAGAAGAAAGAGGGCTCGGGGTCCAGGCCAGGAGGGCCCGCCATGGCCGCACCGCATCGGAGAAGACGTAGACGCCGGTGATGACGATGTAGTTGGGCCCGCGAGCGCCCACCCAGAGGGGCGCCGCAAGCGGATCCGAGCTCCACCTTCACCATGGCCGCCACCCCGAGCGCGCAGCGTGCAGGCGGCACACAGGGAGTCAGCGCCGCGAGGCCGCGGCTGCACCCATCGCGCGGAGGTGTCGGTCCTGAGGGACGCCTCTGCCGGGGGGGCCTGTGCCAGTGCGGCGCCACGTCCTTCAGGAGGAGGAGGAGGAGGAGGAGGAGGAGGAGGAGGAGGAGGAGGAGGAGGAGGAGGAGGAGGAGAGGAGGAAGGAGGAGGAGGAGGAGGAGCAGCGAGGCCAGGACGAGCGAGGCGGCGGCGGCGGCGGCGGGCAGGCGGCCCGCCTGGCCCGTCGTGCGGTCCTCAGGGCCGCGGGCGGACCCCCCGGGCCTCCCCCGGGCGTCGCCCCTCCGCCCCCCCCCCCCGCTGCGCTCCGCGTCCCCTTTACCCCCCCCCCCCCCCCCCCCCCCCCCCCCCCCCCCCCCGCCCCCCCCCCCCCGCCGCCTCTGTTTCCCCCCCCCGCCCCCCCCCCACCCTGTCTCCTGCTGTCCTCCTCCCTCCTCCCTCCCTTTTCCTCCCTCCTCCCTCTTCTGCTGTCCTCATCCCTCCTTCCTCCTCCCTCCTCCCTCCGGCCCTGCTTTCTCCTCCCTCCTCCCGCCTCCCCCGTCGCTTCGCTTCGCTCTGTGGGAACGCAAGTCAGTGCCTGAAGCGCCCCAAACAACACCACGAGCCGCCACCGCGCGGGCCCGCTCACACCTTGGGAGGTGGGTGGAGAACCCTCCCCGGTCACAACTCCAAGAGGGGGAGGCCCCAGCCGGGGAGGCTGTCTCCTGCTGTCCTCCTCCCTCCTCCCTCCTTTTTCCTCCCTCCTCCTCCTCCTCCTCCCTCCTCTCTCCTCCCTTCCTCCTGCTGTCCTCCTCCCTCCTCCCTCCTTTCTCCTCCCTCCTCCCTCCTCCCTGCTTTCTCCTCCCTCCTCCCTCCTCCATTTCCCCTGCTTTCCTCCTCCCTCCTCCCTCCTTTCTCCTCCTCCTCCCTCCTGCCCTCCTCCCTGTCTCCTGCTTTCCTCCTTCCTCCTCCCTCCTCTCTCCTCCTCCGCCTCCTGCTCCTTCTCGCTATCCTCCTCCTCCTCCTCCTCCTCCTCTTCTTCTTCTTCGTCTTCTTATTCTTCTTCTTCTTCTTATTATTATTATTAGTCTTCTTCTTATTATTTTTCTTCTTATTATTATTCTTCTTATTATTATTATTCTTCTTATTCTTCTTCTTCTTCGTATTATTATTTTTCTTCTTATTCTTCTTCTTCTTATTCTTCTTCTTCTTCTTCTTCTTCTTCGTCTTCTTCTTTTTATTCTTCTTCTTCTTCTTCTTCTTCTTCTTCGTCTTCGTCTTCGTCTTCGTCTTCGTCTTCGTCTTCGTCTTCGTCGTCCTCGTCGTCCTCGTCGTCCTCGTCGTCCTCGTCGTCCTCGTCGTCCTCGTCGTCCTCGTCGTCCTCGTCGTCCTCGTCGTCCTCGTCGTCCTCGTCGTCCTCGTCGTCCTCGTCGTCCTCGTCGTCCTCGTCGTCCTCGTCGTCCTCGTCGTCCTCGTCCTCGTCGTCCTCGTCGTCCTCCTCTCGTCGTCCACCTCGTCGTCCTCCTCGTCGTCCTCCTCGTCGTCTCCTCCTCCTCCTCCTCCTCCTCCTCCTCCTCCTCCTCCTCGCTCCTCCATCCTCCACCTCCTCCTCCTCCTCCTCCTCCTCCTCCTCCTCCTCCTCCTCCACCTCTCCTCCACCTCCGCACTCCTCCCCCTCCTCCTCCCCCTCACCCCCTCCCCCTCCCCTCCCCCTCCCCCTCCCCCCCTCCTCCCCCTCCCCTCCTCCTCCTCCTCCTCCTCCTCCTCCTCCTCCTCCTCCTACTCCTCCTCCCTCCTCCTCCCTCCTCCTCCTCCCCTCCCTCCCTCCTCCTCCTCCTCCTCCTCCTCCTCCCTCCTCCTCCTCCTCCTCATCCTCCTCCTCCTACCTCCTCCTCCTCCGCCTCCGCCGCCTCCGCCGCGTCCGCCTCCGCCTCCGCCTCCTCCTCCTCCATCCGCCTCCCCTTCCTCTCCTCCTCCTCCTCCTCCTCCTCCTCCTCCTCCCTCCTCCTCCTCCTCCTCCTCCTCCTCCTCCTCCTCCTCCTCCATTCCCTTTCCTCATCAAACAACTTCTCCCTGTCGCACCCCGAGGGCTGGTTTTAGGGCGGGCCCGGCGTGTCGCCAGAGACTTCTTCACCATCTATGACCCTGAAGATTACAGGTGACAATAGTTTCACGAATTGAGGGCGGGTGGTTTTCAAAATGTGGCTCT